CCTATCCCCCTGTGTGCCTTGCCTCCCACGACTAGTTTCAAGTTGTTTATGAATTTGCTTCTTTTATACCTAATTTTATTAATTTTAAGATTTATAGTTAGGATTAAATATTGACTTTCAAACCATCGTAAGACTTCCGACCCCGACAAAATTTATAGGTTCGCCTTAGTTGCATAGTATAAGTTGCGCACCTTTTCCAAACCTCACCGATATGGAAAAAGTTTATATGGTGGCAACCTTATACTATAGAAGTAATGCATGCCTAAAAACATCAGGTAGAAAAGAAACTTTCTCTAGTTGAAAAATGTTAAAATGGATCATCTTGATCTCGAGATGTACGAATATAAATAAATAAAAGAATTTTCAAATCCTAAAAATAATGCATCTTATAAAAAGTTATTTAGTATGTCTATTTTCAAGTGTTTATAGATCCACTTTTTTCAAGATTTATAAAAATCAACTCAATGTTATGTTAAGAGTATATATTATTACTCAAACAGTGTATTGGTAAAAGCATATGGTTTTTTTCCATGAGGTTTTACTTGTCAAAAAAAAAAAAAGCGAGAGTATATATCGAATCTCCTTATACTTTTTATATAGCATAATAGAATATCCCTTTAACAAAAAAATTTAAATAATAAAAAATCACGGGAATTAAAGCTGGTTAACATAGCATAATGGAATTTCATTTTAATAATAAAATTCCATTAAATAATAAAAAAATCACGAGAGTTAAAGGAAAAGTATATAAAAACATCAATTACCCCTTTGTTGGATCTCAGTTCGGGTAAGTCATTATTAGGTTCAAAGTACAATTTTTTTTTTTTTTAACTTCTGTACAAATCCTAAGCAATCCAATTTAAAATCGGATGAATATGAGTTATAACGGAAGTAAATTGTTTTATAGTATACCATCACTAAGTTAAATCAGCTTAAAACGTGCACCACACTACTTACGGCTAGTAACTCATAATCTCACAATGAACTTTCAAATTTGGATGAGGTTTCGCTTAGGTTTTATGGAAACAAAATAAAACCTCACTTCAAATCTTCGTTCGGAAAATACTTTCGGTAACACAAATCTGTATGATGACTCTGAAATTAATTTTCAATTTTGACCATAAAATTTGAAATACAAAAAATAATACAAATCTTACAGATCTGTGAAGAGTTATTTTTAAGCCAAATTTGATGGTCTAGATACTTTGTTATAATATAAACTATTTTTAGAACTTGAAATTTTTTTTTTTTTTTCCTTCTCAACTTCAAGTCAAGATAAACAATGTAAAGGTTTTTCAAATGGTTAACTTGTAATTTTTTATGACTTATAAAGTGAGGATTTACATTGTATATAATGAGACCATTTACTTTTGGAATAGAGAAGTCCCCGTTACTGATAACCATTCGATGTGAAATCTAGTATGTGTCATAAAATTCAAAAAAATTTATTTTGAACTTTGAGCTTGACCAATAAAATAAATACAGCTACCTAATTTCACATATTAGACCACCTCGTAGAAATAGTTCACATATTAGACCACCTCGTAGAAATAGTAAATTGTCTCGTTACAAGCTTTCCCTTGGTTACAGCGCTATCAACATTTTCTTTCAGATTTTACCAAATATCGCGCTATAAAAAAACAGCAAAAAAATCCATTACGAAAAAAAAAAAAAGGAGAGAAAAGTAAAAAAGAGAAAAACTGAGAAGGAAGCAGAGATCATCAATGGCGACTGAAGAGGCACAAGGGAAAGCCCAAACCTTCACGAGGAGCAGGAACTTCCTCTTTGTTACAAACCCTTGGGTCTCCATTGTTGGCACCGGAGTTCTCGGCCTTCCCTTTGCTTTTAAGGTTGCAGGTTGGCTTCCTACTCACAAGCTAACCTTCCAAAAATACTACCAATTTTGTACTATCTTTCCAATCATTTCCATCTTAATTTATGTTTGTTTTCTGTTACTAATTTGATTTCAATAACCTCTCTTTCAGGCAACACCCACCCACGTTCTTAACTTTCTAAAATTTGAAGAGAGAGCCTCACGCCTTTCTAAAACAAACCTAGAGAGAGAGAGGCCATGGCTATTATTCTTCACACTTCTTTCGTTTCTCTCTTCTGTACATTGCTGTTGCAGTTAGAATCTCTCTCACTCTCTCTCATGTCAAACAAAAGTACTGAATACCCAATATCTATCCCAGTTTGTAAATTCTGATAGAAGTCTCTCTCTTATTTCATACTGTCTTTATGTATTTGACATGTACCATTGGATAAACGATTCTTCTAACTGTGGATGTGATGTGGATTTCAGGTGTGAAGAATGGCAACGTGTCTTGGCTTCCTCAAAAATAAACTGATGAAGCTTTTTTGCCTTAAACCTTCCACTGTATCAAACAGTGACAATTTCAGGATTGTAACTATTTTCGATTTTGCCAAACGTGTTTATCACTTGAAACCTCACTGGTTATCATATTAGCTCTTAGCCTTTGTGACATTAAGAAGAGAAGAGATCGAGTACCCCTAAGACATGTTGTTCGAAGCAAAATCGTGGATGTATTTACATCAAACTACTTTTCCATTATAAAATATAGATAAAAGTCCATCAACTCTTATTATTATGATAAACACTCAGAAAAACTCCTATTAATATGTCATCTTATTTGAATTAAAGTTATCGATTACCCTTCAAAGAGTTATCATATGGTTTCTTGTTATTGGCCCCATTTTACTTCATTTCTATAGAATGAGGTGGATGAGGACTTAAAGACAGAAAATAAAGTTCTACAAGAGAAGTTGATCCTCAGAGAAGTCGAATTACAACAAACTATAGATGAGCATCTAAGAGAAGTCAAGAGATTCTCAAGTGCAAAGTTCAAAATGTTCAAGATTTACTCTTTTCTTTAACCCATGAGAAGAAAGATCTCAAAGTTCAGGTAAACTTCAAGTCTTTAAATAACATATTTGTTGGTTTCATTGCTCTTTATTTTTGGATGTTAAATAGATTTTTTCAACTCTCTCTCTCTCTCTCTCTATCTTTCTCTCATCTTTCTTTGTGAACACTTTAACTAGATGGAGAGAAAAGATGAGGAGACAAGTCAAATACGTTTCAAGCTTCAAGATTCATTGAAAGAATTGTATATTGTCAATGAAAAACTGTCCAAGGTCATGAAAGAGAGAGACGTGATGCACGAAGAAGTGAAGCAATACAGTGAGAAGAACAAGGTGTAA